CCCCTCATTGTTGTAAGCCGCCCTGAGTCCCCTCAGGGAAAAGGGCGGCCTACAAATGTTAATAAAATCAAATCAAAAAATACAGCCTGTTGTGCCTTAAAATGGATTCTACTGTACTGCCGTAAAATGGCTTCTGCTGTACAGGTAGTGGAGTTGCCATGGTAACAGCTTCACAATGCTCCACAAGGGGCCTCCTACTGGTAAGGCAGGAAATCCAACATTAGAAATTACGTTTGGGCAACGGCGGGTTATCAGCTACTTGTATATAAATAGGGAGCAAACCCAGTTTACTCACCAGCACTGATGATGTTACCTAGTCTGGTAATGAAATGTCTGCAAGCAAACAACCAAGCTCAGAGAGCACCAAGGACTCCCCTGTTCAACTCTGAGTTACAGAGATTCTTTTAATGTCCTCTTATCAGCCTGGGGTTCATGAAATCACCTTCCCAGCTGGATTTTGACAAGCATAGTCAATAGGGAAGGAGCCTATAGGCTGTTTGGTGCTCATAAGCCTCTGCTTGTTTTCCCTGCCCCAGTTACGATCAGATTCCAAGGCTTACCTTGTTTGATGGTTCCAGCTTCAGAGCGGTCTTTAAGATAGGGATGGCCCCACTGTATTCCCCTTGCTGTGCCAGAACCTAGATTAGCAGACAAGAGAAAAATGCTGGGCAATCTCTGGTTTAACGCAGCTCTTTTGAAAGCCTCTGCCAGACCTATCTGATGGCATCCATTCAAAGTTACAACGGACCCACACAAAGCTACTTACCACCCAACTTATAATGGCCACACACACACACACACGCACAATCATGTGATCGTATTTTGGGTGCTTGGCAACTGGCTCAGCTTTACAGCTGTTTGCAGCTTCCTGTGATGATGTGACCACAATTAGTAATGGGTTTTTTTTTTGGCCAATTTCCAATAGTTACTTCCGGTTTCCGGCAAAAGACACTCATGGAAAAAATGGATTTGCTTAACAACCACTGTGTTTGCTTAACGACTACTGAGTTCGTTTAACGACCCCCACAAAAAAGCTCCTAAAATTGCATGTGGTCACATGGTGACCCACTTAACGACTGCGATGACTTACAATCGTAATCCTGGGTTCAACTCTAGAAAGAGTGCAAAGAAGGACAACCAAGATGATTAGGGGACTGGAGGCTAAAACATATGAAGAACGGTTGTAGGATCTGGGCATGGCTAGTCTAGTGAAGAGAAGGACCAAGGGGAGACATGATAGCAGTCTTCCAATATTTGAGGGGCTGCCACAGAGAGGAAGGGGGTCAAGCTATTTGCCAAGGCACCTGAAGGCCAGGCAAGGAATAATGGATGGAAACTGAACAAAGAGAGATTCAACCTGAAAATATGGAGAAATTTTATGACCGTGAGAGCAATCAACGCATGGAACAGAAGTTGCCTTCGGACGTTGTGGGAGCTTCATCATTGGAGGCTTTCAAGAGGAGATTGGACTGCCATTTGTCAGAAATGGTGTAGGGTCTCCTGCCTGGGAAGGGGGTTGGACTAGATGACCTATAAGGTCCCTTCCAACTCTGTTAATCTGCAATTATAGTTGTAAGCCAAGGATCGCCTGATCCGGAATATAACCTGGGAGGAGGTGCCAAGTGCTGCCATCCTTTGACGGGCAGTTCCACCAGCCAATAACTGAGTGCATGTTGTGTTTTCCTGTTTTAAATTGTATTGTTTTGTGTTTTTAATCTTCTTAATATTTTGATTGTTTTTAATGTAAGCCGCCCAGAGTCCTTCGGGATTGGGCGGCATACAAATCTATTAAAATTAAAATTCAATCATCCTCAGACCTTGAGCTCATTGTTAAACCCTCTGTTACCTTTCCCTTTCGGAACAGCGCCTTGATGTTATCTGGCTGTTGCTCCAACACTTGATTGCAGGCTCGCAGGGCAGCCTCAAAATGGTCCAGCTTAAGATGGGACGCTGCTAAATTATTCAAACATTTTATCTTCACTTCCACCAGCTCTGCCTCTTCTTCCTCACTGAAATTCACTGCAGGGAGAGAAATGAAACGGAGTTAGGACTGGTAAAAATCCTGTGATTCAGGACAGGGGACAGGACTCTGATTCATTGAACAGTCCTGTTACTTTAAAAAAAAATATATTTACAAACATGTAAAATACACATACACAAAACTTAGACGTACATCACATTTACACAATACAAAACGAACAGGAGCTTCCTGTTCTTTCTAATAGTAATTGCCAATCGATATCACTCACCTTATATTGTTTCCCCTTCTATTATATTTCATTTGTATTTCACCATTCTTAGCCCTCTTATCTTACTCCTCTGTCTGCTATATTGGCTGATTACCTCTAGTAAGTTTAAACCACTTGGATACATATATATGTGTTAATTCTCCTTAACTACTATTTTTGGGCTTTGTCGTCTTCCTTCATTGATCCTTGTTTCTTTCCTCCATCCACCTATATCGTTTATCCCATATCTGGTAGTATTCTGATTCTTCTTTTCCCTGGATTTCTTTAGTTAGTTTGTCCATTTCAGCGCAATCCATAACCTTTCTTATTATTTCATCTTCGCTTGGAATTAATTTGTTTTTCCATTTCTGGGCAAAGGCAATCCTTGCTGCCGTAATTATATGTAATATTAAATACTGAATTTATTTTTTTATATTTCACAGTCATTATTCCTAATAAAAAAACTTCAGTTTCCATTCTATTTTAACACCTGTTATTACCTCTAGCCACTTTTTGATCCTTTTCCCAAAAAAATTAGCCTCCTCACAGGGCCACCCTAAGTGGTAGTATGTTCCATGTATTGATTCACATTTCCAGCATTTTGGGGTTGAGATTTTAGCTAACCTTGTTGGTGCCAGAGTCAGGACTGGGAAAAAGCCTGTGATTCAGGACAAGGGGCAGGACTCAGATTCATTGAACAATCCTGTTACTAACTTGACAACTGCGGTGATTCACTTAATAACTATGGCAAGAAAGGTTGTAAAATGGGGCAAAACTCAACACAAATGTCTCACTTAACAATAGAAATTTTGGGCTGAATTGTGGTCGTAGGTCAAGAACTGCCTGTATCTATAGTACCCGCTCCATATTGTAGAGTTCAAGAGGCATTTTTTAAAAATAAGGATTACGCTGCTAGTTCCCAATTATTGAGCAGCACTTTGGCACAAAACAAATTGCTCCTTGTTCTGACCGAGGCTTCCCAAGAGCATGAAGCAAACTCCTTGTCCCAACAAAAACCTCTTTTATTAACTATGAATTCTGCTCATTGGCATCCAGCAAACTCTTTCAAGGGAGGATTTATAGTCACAGAACTTATCTGGCTTAGAGAAATGACAGGCCAATATCTGCAAAACTTGGAAAGAAGTCTCGAAGAGTCACGAACCAATGAAGCGAACTAATTGTCTCCTGCAAACTCCACTCCCCTTTCGCTCCTCTTTTATTTCTTCTGGGAGGGGCCATTCACTGTCCATCTGTGGCCTTACTCCCAAGACAACCCCTGTTCTTTAGCATGCGCACACTTGGAACAGGCTCCAGCTGTTCGTCTGCCTCACTGACGTCTGACTCTGAAGGCAGCTGAAAACTGGCATACGGCCCTGGTCCTGCCTCGGACGCAGAGCCCTCATCAGAGCCTTCCCCAGACTCCAGGACTGGCCCATGATCCACCCCAACATCTTCACTGTCCAAATCTACTGCCAGGGTCCACTAGCTGCTGACGGGCCACAACACTCCCCTAGGCGGGGCTCTGGGTAGAAGCCAGGCTTCCTGGGGGGCTAAGGGGGGGAGGGGGGAATCAGATACCTTTAGTATTGGAGTTGATGACCTTGAGAGCAATGTCATAGGAATTGGCGGCCAGAACGTAATTTAATTGCTGGTAGTGAACATTGCCGTATTCTCTCTTCCGGTTAGCCAGTGAGACTTTCTCTTTCCCGCTGAGGAGTTCCAAATCGGGAGCATCCTGGGCTGTCAACAATTCCACCTCGAGAGTTAAGGAAGCACAGGGAGGAATGTCGGGAATCCTGTTCGGAAGAAATCAGCAGGTGCATTCAGATCAGGTGAGATCCAAGGTTCAATCAACGCAACGTTCTGTTGCCAAGAAGGGCCCATTTCATTGAGCCACTAAGTTTACTAAACTAAACCCGAGTTTCTCAACCTTTGCAACGTGTGTGGACTTCAACTCCCAGAATTCTCCAGCCTATTCTGGGAGTTGGAAGTCCACAAGCCTTAAAGTTGTAAAGGTTGGGAAACACTGTACGAGACCAAAATCTCCTAAAACTGTGCACGTTTACGGATTCAAGAGACAAAATGTGTGTTGTGTCGCAGAGCATGTGGGCACACACAGATGATCTGCTGGAAACATTAAAGCAGCTAAGCTAGGAGTATCAAACAGACAATTCCATGAAGGATTTCAAGGTTGACTCAGCCTTCCTTCCTTCCAAGGTGCGTAAAACGAGGACCCCAGACTGTTGGGGGGCAATAGGCTGACTCTGTAAAGCGCTTAGAGAGGCCTGTAAAAGCACTGTGAAGTGGTATATAAGTCTGTGTGCTGTTGCTATTTCTTCCCAATACTTCACAGGTCAATTGCTGAAGCAGAAACTCCATTTCTGACCTTCGTGGCTGGACTGATCCAAGTATTATAACAATAGCAATAGCAGTTAGACTTATATACCGCTTCATAGGGCTTTCAGCCCTCTCTAAGCGGTTTACAGAGTCAGCATATTGCCCCCAACAACAATCCGGGTCCTCATTTTACCCACCTCGGAAGGATGGAAGGCCGAGTCAACCCTGAGACGGTGAGATTTGAACAGCCGAACTGCAGAACTGCAGTCAGCTGAAGTAGCCTGCAGTGTTGCATTTAACCGCTGCGCCACCTCGGCTCTATAATTCAGAGAGACTTCCTCTAAATAGATACTCCCTGTAGCTAGCTGCTAAAACACCCCATTCTTGCCAACAACCCAGCTTCTTCCTCATGTACCTCCCCAGTGGGCCGAAGCAGTAATTCCCATCTGAAGTGATGAGCGCTGTCTCCCCCATGTCCATTAGCTGCACACAGAGATCCAGGGCCTGTGAAGAGGAAGAGGGCAGAAAAGGAAAATTATTTGGGGAGCAAGGAGGGTGTGCGGGGAAGACAAATGGTCATTCAGACACCCCATTTGAACAGTGTTTCCCAACCTTCACACATTGGAAACGTGTGATCTTCAACTCCCAGAATTCCCCAACCAGCATGGCTGATTGGGGAATTCTGGGAGTTGAAGTCCACGCATCTTAAAAGTTGCCAGGGTTGATTTGGTTCTTACAGTATCTATCACCCTGTTAGATGTATTCCCTTGGTTCCTGTTTATTTGCTGCTTATAACAATTCAGGACATCAGCTACCAATTTATTCTCAAAAGGAATCTTCCCAGAATCCCAATGGATGGAGCTGCAGTCCTTCAGCTAAAGGCTATATAGTAAAAGTGCGGATGATGGTAACTTTTCCAAACCAATATAAGAAAAGTGATTCCAACCTTCCATTCTCTCTGGCTTGCCTTTAAATATCTAAAGGTAAAAAGGTTTTCCCAATCCACATCATGAAAATCTCCAGAGGGCAGGGCTCATGTCTGTTTCTTAGACGAGGGAATCAACATTGTATGAAGACCCTTTCCATGGTCATGTGGCCAGCAGAATTATACGCCGAGGCGCATGGAACTCTGTTACCTGGTTTCCCCCAAAATAAGACCTCCCTGGATAATAAACCCAATTGGGCCTTTGAGCGGATGCGCAAATAAGCCCTCCCCGAAAATATTGCAACACAGCAGATGTCAGCTTCTGCTTTGCTGTCGCTTCAGCTGCCATGAAACGGGGAGGGAGGGCATGGTATTTGGGAGGGTTACTCATTGTGCTGGAGGAAAGTTCTGGATTTCATCGACTGTTCGAACTGCGCATGCGTGGGTGTTTCCCACCTGGACTAACGGCACCGACATTCCATCTT